TACGCGGGCCTCTCACTGTTGTGGCCTCTCCCGTTGCGGAGCACAGGCTCCGGACACGCAGGCGCAGCGGCCATGGCTCACGGGCCCAGCCGCTCCGCGGCATGTGGGATCTTCCCTTCCCGGACCGGGGCACGAACCCGTGTCTCCTGCATCTGCAGGCGGACTCTCAACCACTGCGCCACCAGGGAAGCCCCACTTATGCAAATTTAAGTATGACATTAACAGTGTCAGTTGATTTGGTCTACACATTACGGAGTGGTATTAGGAAAGAAAAGGGGAAGTTATAGTGATTTGCCTACCAGAATGAAGAAAGCGTTGAACAGATAAACCAATTGAACCCTAAATGACCATTTTTTTCCCTGATGGAATAAACTGGGTTTTCTGACATGAGCCTAAATGAACCTAAATGTTGGCCTGCAAAAACGAAGAAAACTCATCGATACCCTAGTATTGCAAGAGAAAACCTCTTTGCCCAGGTATCAGCTTAGAAGGTGGCTCCCACAATCTGGGGTTTAGAGTACAGTGTCTGAATTTCAGCACAGGAAGCAACCATACTAGCTATTTAGTCAAATCCCCTCGTGAGTAAATGAAAAGCCCTGACCTCTAAGTCCAGTTATGCAGTGAGACTGTGGCCCGTCCAACCTGGAGTTCTCCATCCATTGCTTTTCCCATTACACAGTGGGGGCATGGGGGTCACTGGTGCAGGCCGGTCGTGATGCATGGCCTCTGTGGTGCCTCTCTGTGTACTTGGTCTGCAGTGGCCAGTGAGGGAGTTTGAGGGATTGATTTGGGAACAACAGTAGGCAAAGTTCATTTAGGGAACATGCTGGCTAAAGTCAATTAAGAAGGGTAAATTAAAAGCATTTAATTCCCAGGTAACATATTTCTGCTGGTGATTCACATGTGAAAGGAATAGGATGTGGTTTACTTAAATATACTTTTTTAAATGATTGGCTTTGACTTATCCTCTTTAGAAACACCTTTTTGTGATTTTTGTGTCTTTTTAGGCTCAACAACATCATCTTCCACCATCCATAATGAGGCTGAGCTTGGTGATGATGACGTTTTTACAGTAAGTTCCCATTGTCCTTTGCTTTCCAGATGAGTTGGTGAATAATCAGAGAGAGGTTCTCTTTAGGGGCATGAGAGACACTTGGCAATTTGGTATTTGCTGTTGCTGTTGGGATGCTGTCAGGGAGATCTCTGCCTTGTCATAATTTTGCTGCCCCAGGTTTTCCCTGGTCCCTCATGTTGCCGTGATGCTACAAGGCACGTAGTATCAGCTCTCCTAAGAGCTGTCCAGGGCGCTCTCAGTCTTCCTTCACACTTAAGGTGACTAGCCATCCTGGTTTGCCTGGGACTGTCCTAGTTTTAGCACTGGAGACCCCTAGTCCAGCAAAATATATACTTCAGTCCCAGGCAAACTGGGACAACTGGTCACCCTACTCTCAGAGTTGCATTAACAACCAGCTCCCCCAACCTCCCTTGCGCGGTGGGTGCGGGGCAGGGGAGTAGCCTTCCTGATGAGTAATTAAACATCTGGTAAGAGAGTCCTGAAGGCGGAGTTGAGGTTAGAGCCACGTGTGCTAAGGCAGGAAATGGCTTGGATATTTTGACACAGCTTGAGTTAATGGGATGTAACTGGAGACAAAATGATTTCTCAGCTTGCCCCTTCGCTAAAATTCTGTGCTTTTAGAAGTTAATTAAACAAACAGTTCAGTGTGCACCTGCTGTGTGCTTGGTGCCGGTCAGGAGCTATAGGGCAGCGTTTCAAAGTCTCAGCCTTGACCCACAGGAAGAAATACATTTAAATTGTAACCTAGGACACACATCCATAGACATCCCAAACCAGATCGTATTTCATGCCCTGCCCTGTTGTGACTTTTTTTATTTTCTTCTGCTTTTTATTATGAAACTTTTCAAGCATACAGGAAAATTTAAAGAATAGTACAGTGAACACCTGTATACTCTACATCTAGAGTCAACAGTTGTAACATTTTGCCCCATTTGCTTTATCTGTGCATGTGTGTGAACTTACACACACGCCTGCACACACATAATTTTTCTGCTGATCCAGTAGAAAGTAAGTCGCCTCTAAATACCTGAGCGTGCATCGCGTAAAAATAAGGCGTTCTCCTATACAACACCATTACTGGACCTAAGAAAATTAATAGGAATTTCATAATATCATCTAATAGTTCCCCGATAATTCCTCAGTTGTCCCAAGAGTATCTTTTATAAGCTGTGTTTTTATTTAATATTTTAAATATTTTATAAGCTGTGTTTTTATTTAATATTTTAAATATTAGTTGCAACCCTTTAAACTTGATTCCTGACCCACTCATCCTGCAACTAGTAATTTGAAAAATACTACTTTGGGAAGACAGAGGTGTGTGAACCCAGCTCAAGCCCTCATGGAGGTAACCGGGTGGTCTGGACAGCAATGAGATGGGCCTGTGAGAAGCTTAGAAGCCAGCACAGACTGTAAAGTGCTCTGGCCCAAGGTCCTTTACAAGGAAGGTTGTGGGGGTCAGAGAAGACCCCTGGGAGCTGAGGCTGGACCGGACCTCGGTGGCATTGGAACAGGGTTTGGGAACGGGCTTCGAGGCGGGGAGCGAAGGTGGCAGCAGGGATGCATGTAGTGAGTTGCCTGAGCGTTGCAGACCCCGACCTGACACGAGTAGAGAGTGCTTGGGATGGGGGCAAAGGGGGGGGATATGTCAGGAAATGAACTCAGTTGTGCCTCCGCACAGCGGCTGGTGTAATGTGGCTCTGAGCAGGCTTCCTATAGCGCTCCAAGCAGATCCTCTCGACAGTTGGCATGTTGCTTACATCTGTTCCTTTGTCACGTTTTGAGAGACAAACAACAGCAGGCGGGTTAAAAGGTGGCTTCCTGTGCTCCAGAGCAAAACTGTCATTCGCAGCTGCTTCCCAGCTACCTGCCAGAAGTGATTTATGGAAGCAGGAGAGGGCAAGAGAGAACAGGCTGATGATGGAAGCCAGCATCCCTCCTGGTTTTGTCCTTTAATCCACAGGGAATTATTGTGCTGCTCTAGGGTAAGGCCGAATGCCTGGAAGGAAGTATAGAAACAGCCCCGCTGCTTCCAGACACTCGGAAACTCACTGCAGGAGGAGTGCGACTTAACTGCATTCCCTGTGGGCCCTGATGTATATGATCCTTGCCTTCATTCCACTTGTTTACAAACAGGGCCTATTAATAATAGTACCTCCCTTCCCCAAGACAAGCCCAGTCATTAAGCCATTGACTATTAGCAACATCCCATGTAAGGATGGGAGCGTCATCAGGGGCTAATGCGCCAGGTTTCCTGTTTGTTCACGAGCTCCCTGTCGTGAGACACTTTGTCCTAAGAAACCAGGGAGATTTCTGAAAGCTGGAGCCATGGAAGAGAGCAGCTGCGTTAACTCCTGTGTAGCCTATAGCTTCCCAAAGTTTGTTGCGTTCTAAAACTTATATTGGTAAGACAGATGTTTAGAACTTGGAACTCATTTATTGTAGAAAGAGTATAAATGGTGATAGACCCTCTTGCAACTTATGACGAGCCAGAATGAGAGTTTTCTAAGAGAACAGTGTATGTGGGAGAAAACCTTTAGAGGCATAACTTGAGGAACCAGGAGTAGGTCTTTTGTTTCTGCTGCTGGAACCAGGGGTTTCCCTGTTTCAGGGGATTCCTTGGGACCGGGAGGAAAATAGGACACTGGACAACATATGGATGCACGTTCCACGTTGGGGGATGAAGTGGAGGAAGGGGCACCCCCATATCCGCCGTGGAGAAGTTGCTGGGCTTGGGTGCTCGCCAAGCATGGGCTGTCTCATACTTTCCTGACTCTCAGCACCTAAACCAGCCTGTCCCCCTGACTTCTCAGGATGGTAATTAGCATCCAGCTTAGCACGTGTGCACGTGTGTGCAGACACATAAACACATACTCTGCCCATGCGTCTTGCCAGTCGCCAACACATTGCCTCTGCAGTCATCCCACGCCTCTCCTGCCACCAGCCTGGTGTGTGTCCACATCTTTCCTGATGGAGCCACCAGAGACTCCAGATTAGCCACTGCTCTGATTTTCTGAGTCTCTTGGGCTATTTATCCATCTATGTGTCTTAGTATTTCTCCCTGAACCAATTATGATTGTTCTCTCTTCTTTCAAATCCCTTAGTACTCTTATTTATTTCTCTCTTGCTACTTGAAAGCCTGCCGCTTTTTTTGGTTTTCGTATTTTATCTGCTGAATGAATGACTCTTCATCTAATTAGAAGCAGTCCTCATTATAGTCTCTACAACCTTATAAAGCTTTGCTGTATAGGTGCTCAATAAATGGGTGCTCTGAACCCCAATATAGTACGTAACAATCATAGGGTTTCATATTTTACTCATTGGCTTTATATTGGCTTTATTGCTATCCTGGGGGACCATCTAAATGTGGGTGAGTTTGAGGGATTCTCAGTAGCTTCATGTCATATTTTTCTCGCTGTGTTTTCCGACGCATCTACAACTAGGAGACGAGCTCCAAGCATCATCACCCACTCTAAGCCTTTGGCTGTTCATGTTCCTTGTTGCCTTCCACCCCACACGGTCTCCTCTGCTCCCTGGGAGACCTCAGATACCGTGATCCATCCAGGTGCACGCAAATCACTAGGTGGCCAGGGTGTGCCCGGCATTAAATATGGATGTGGGAGGGAATTCCAGTGCCTGAGCCATTTGGTACAGATTTGTAAGATGAGTAATGGAGAGGGTATAAAGCAACGACAACAAAGGCTAGTGTTCTGTGGCAGGCATTTGGGGGCCCTGGTGAGAGTCAGCCCGCTCTCATCCGTGCCTCTGGCAGACAGCTTTTCATTTCTCTCCCCGGAGCTGGAGAGCCTTGAGAGTGACAGAATGGAAGGACCCTCGAGAGTCTATCCCTCTGTTGTGCTTTTGTCTTGTGGGGGAGACACGTGCTCTGGCGTGTCTTGTGGAGGAGGCCCATGTGCCCTTGAGAGATGGACAGTGTAGTTCCGCGGAGAGGCCGAGCTGCTTTGCTCCCCAGCCTAGGACTGATGTTCTCCTGGCGCCCTACAGTTGAAGACTCTGGGCCCAGAGGGTTTGGGGCCCACAAGGAAGGGGGGTCATCGGGGATGGGGAGGCAGTGAGTAAAGGGACTATATAGAACTAGACAGGCTCTGGGTTTTATAGTCATTTAATGAACAATTTTCCAAGTTCCTATTTTGTAGGATTGGGTCCATTGAAACCTGGTGCTTTATTTACTGCTGCAGAGCTCTAAAATCATTTACAAATGTTATTAGCATCTTCGTAGCTAGACAAGGAGAATTTTAATACGATCTTGGGAGAATGCAGCTGCAGGGTACACGTATTTCCAGAGCAGGCTCGTCGAGAATCTGTGGTCAAGTGCTGTCGGTGCTTCAGCTGTCATTGTGCTGAGTGGCTGGATTCTGTCTCTAAAGCTGGGGGATTAGGGAAATATTTGCTTTATAGAAAGATACTTGGGGTGTAGAAAATAGCTAAGTCTTCATCTTCCATAATAAGAAGGCCTTCAATAATATACAAAGCTGCAAATCAGGAAAGAGTAGTATTAACAAGATGCTGTTAAAAAGATGGAGAGAGAAATACAAGGAGAAAGAGCCACAAGAAATGAAAGTTTATTTCTCTGGGGAGTGAGAAGCTGAGATGGGGAGGGCGAGATCGCTACTTGAGATATTAAATGATATACACGTATTGATTTTTTTTTTTAAGAAAGAAAAACATAAGAGGGAGTTTTCTCAAAAAGGCGGGGAGGGGGGTGGTCAAGGGAGGAGGAAGAATCCAGCAATCCTGATTTCCCGCATCTGGGGGTTTAAAGAGATTGAAGAGACTCAGCAGAGGTTGAGTTGTGTGGCTTTCGGTGCTCTTTTTCAGGCTGTTTTTTTCTGCCTAGTGTTAGGAAGCAGTGTGTCCACCGTGGAAATAATGGCACATTAAAGGTAGGAGACCTGACAAAAGAGTTAGCTGGAGATGTTTGGCTGGCAAGGAGGTGAGAATACCTGTAGACGTGCCAACTCCTCAGAATTCTAGGTCTT